TGACAGCGGGGCCCGGGGCTTACTGGATGGAGCAGCCACACGTGCCCCTGTGATTCACCGCACGGGGGTGCAGATGAGGGACGGGGTCACTAGCCAGAGCTCGGGGCTTGCATAGGGCACAGGACCTTCACACTGCCTGCCCTATCAAGGGGATGCTGGACCTGGAAAAAGTACCGTGACATTCAGGAATCTTGACTCTGCCCCTCACTGGCTGTGTCATCCTGGCTAAGTCACACAGTATCTCTGTGTCTCACTTTTCTCAGCTCTAAAATGAGAGAAACCAGTAACTTCCTCAGAAGGTGACAGACAGCCAAAAGCCCTGTACAGAGTTACACGGGAATTCTAACAAGAAATCTATCCCTGTGTCCATTTTCCTTATGCCAGTACAAAACCACCATTTAAAAAAAAAAAAATTTAACACGGTATTATTTTCTTCTGTATAATCGTTTTGGATTTTCCAAAATTTCCCCAATAAAATATGAATTAATTTCATTCTAGAGAGAGAAAGGAACATAAAACCATCATGTTATAAAATCACACATTCAAAGGAAACATACTGAAACGTGCTGGTCCCTAACCTGGGAACTGCTTCACTTCCAGGGTCCTCCCAAGGATCTGATGCTCTTTAGTCAGGATCTGGTGAAGGACCAGAGCACAAGGCAAGATGGCACAGGCAAGACGGCAGATACAGGATGGCACAGGCAAGATGGCGGGGACAGGATGGTACAGGCAAGATGGCGGAGACAGGATGGCACAGGCAAGATGGCGGGGACAGGATGGCACAGGCAAGATGGCAGATACAGGATGGCACAGGCAAGATGGCGGGAACAGAATGGTACAGGCAAGATGGCGGGGACAGGATGGCACAGGCAAGATGGCAGAGACAGGATGGTACAGGCAAGATGGCTACCTCACACTCAGTGCCCCCAGCTAAGTCTTCCCAACTCATTCCCCTCACCACATCCACCCAACCCAATCCAGCCTTTACAATGTCAAGGTTATTTCCTCTGTGGCTATCATTTACCTCCTAAAACTAGCTCCAATCCAATTAATCAACCAATACACCTTTGGTGCCCACATCATGTACAAGGTGCTGTGACACATGCTGAAGGACGGAGGTGGTATTAAATAACCCAATATATGGTTCGAGATCTTAAAAAGCCTGCAGTCCAGTTCTGCACTCCAAAGATAAAGCCATCGAGGCACAAAAGTCAAAGCCATGGGTGCAAATGGACACAGACAAGAAAGCTTCAAGCACCTTGGAGCAGGGAGAGCTCAGACCGTGTGGCTTGGCACCACTGCCCACCCCCAGGTGGTGACCTTGAGCCAAGCTTTAAAGGATGGATGGATGCAGAAAGGAGGCAGGGAGAGCAAACCAGGACAGCTAGCACTTCTCAAAGACGGGGGCTGAAACGTGGAGGCTACAATCGCAAGACAAATGCAAGGTTATTTCAGCAAGTAGATCAGTCTTGCTCAAAGAGGCCGAGGCACTGGGCCAGGGCGGGAACATGGGGGGGGGGGGGCGGGCGGCGGGCCTGACTGTCAGCCTCCAGGCTTGACCACAGTTCCTTAGGAAACACAAAACCACCGGAAGGTCTTAGGCCCTTTGGAAGCGGTGCTTTCCACGCAGACAGCTGGAAACACAGAAAGGAGGGGCGGCAGGGCCCTGGGTTAAAGGGTCCTGCAGCAACAGTGAGGGGGCAGCAGACGCGGCCTCACGGAAAGAATGGAAGGGCAGGTGCAAGAGAGCCTGGAGGGACAAAAATGAACTCATCTCTGTGTACTTTCCCCTCCATACCAGCTTTTCCACTTTCCCTTTCAAGTGTCCTTTTCAGCCTATATTAAGAAAAACAAAACCATAAAAACGTGTAACTGATTTTCAAAAGGCAGGCACCGAGAGTCTTAGCGGAGAGGCCAGTTCTGAGGAAGTCTGGGTCATCCCTGGCCCCCCCAGCCCAGGGGCCCCTCTCAGGACACCCAAGGAAACGTTCCAGGAGTGAGAGAACACTGGAGATGGCTGTGCTGTGTCCCTCTTGCTTGAATTTCATAAGGGTCCACTGGAAAGGTCTGAGAAATCAGAGCCATCATTAAAACACCAGCTCCCACTTGGTACCCGAAGGGCTGGACCCAAGTGGCTCTGTTCCTCCTGTATGCCCAGTGCCCGGCTCTCTCGAGCCCTCCATTAATTCCTGAGGAATAAAGAGCACCAAGGTCAAGGTTACCTTCTCCTCCTTCAGTATCAAGAGGTGGAGACAGGCTGCAGAGCCAGTGGACACGGGAATCCAGGTCCCATCTCCCAGGCACTTTCCTCCCCTGGCACTCTCCCGCCACAGCAGGAGACCCCGGCAGGCCTACAGTATTAACAGGTGGGGCACGCTTTACCCAAAACTAGCACAGACAGAGGATGGAGCGCTGGGGGGTGGGGTGGAGATCAGGAGGGTCGTTACAAATGACACTGGTCAGCCAGGAAGAGAACAGCTACCTTAGTTACAGCCTGAATTCCCAGCTTGCCCGGGAAAAGTTCTCAACCCAGCCTTCCTCAGAGACTGCAGGTAAAGAAAACTCATCTTCCCACCCCACCACGCCCAACCCAACCCAACCCAAGCAGTCCCAAGTGGCGGACATCCCCAAATCCCCAGGGAATCACTTACCAGGCAGGGGAGTATACAAGGAAAGAAGCCGAACCCCAGCCCATCTGAAGCAAGCTCACAGCTTCCCAGAAGTCCCCACCCCCACTCCAACCAACAGGCAAATGGATTTTCCTCTTTACTCCACCTGGCATAGGCAGTAGAGGGCACTGGGCCATGGTCCAGGCCACAAGCTTGTCGGAGATGCAAAGTCTCGGGTCCCCACCCAGATCTACTTAATCTGAGATTCTTCGGTTGGGCCTAGAAATCTGCATCTTAACAGGCCCTCCACGTGACTCTGACACACGCCAAAGGTTGAGACACGCCAGTGCAGCAGCTGAGAACCTCAATCCTGGCACCAGACTGTCCAAGTTCAATTCCCAGCTCTGTCATCCCCTAGCTGGGTGGCTGTGAGCAGGCTACTTAGGGGGAAGTATCAGCACCCATCTCCTAGGGTTGCTGGAAAGACTTAACGAGTCCCTGCGTCTTAGTGGCACTTAGTAAATACCCTTTAGAATTTTATTATTCTTATTTGGGGCACTGGGTGGGTGGGGGTATATCATATTTCATTTCCTAATTGAAACGACTTGTGTCCCTGGGTACAGCCTGACACTTGAGGGAACCAGCTATCTTGCACTCTCTCTTTTGGGTCTTATGGATTGGTCTATGGCACGGATCTGTGTAAAATAATAAGGCCCATCCCATAAGCATCTAATTCCTCCAGAGATGAACTGTGGGCTTTTGTTTCATTCTGTGCCTTGGTTCTTCAACACTCAGGAGAAAAGCTCCCACAAGAACCCCACCGGGGACACCTACAGCCAGGCCACACCTACAGCTGGGCCCCGCTATCTACAAGGGGTCAGTGGGATTGCAGCGTCCCACTGCAGATACAAGTTCAAGGTATCCCCTGGATACTTGCTGAATGATATCAAGAAGACCAAGGGGTCCTTTCAGAGGGTGCTTGGAAATCTGTCCCCATCCCACCAGGAAGGACCCAGAAGGGAGCATTGGAAAGCAGAAAGAAGACAATATGGTGACACCCTTCTCCCTGCCTGCCACCGGACTGGTCTCTTGCTCCAAATGCAGGTAGGACAGTAGTTGAGTCAGGTCTTACTAATGTAGAACCTTTTTGTAATCAAAATGAATAGTCCTTATAACTAGGAGGAGACAGTAGATAGAACCTGTCAAGAACACAGGCTCTTTGGTCAACCAGACATGGGGTTCTGACTCCAGACTCTACCACTTACTAGCAGCAGGACATCAGGCAACTTAGTTAACCCCTCCGAGCCTCCTTTTCTTATTTCTGATATGGGGAAAGGAAAGAACCACCCTGGACCGATGTGCCCACTCGGTGAGATAATGCATCTGTAACAGTCTTGGCACTGTGTCTGGCACAACAACAATTCCACCACTAATTATTATCATTATCTTTATGACTATCAATAGCTCTGCAATTACCATGAGGACACGAGTTAGAAGCTCAGGAAGGGAGGTGGCAGCCTTGAGTCTGACTTGGATACCAGTCACATGGACCCTGGAGAGCTGTCCATACTCAAGTGAGTAATACCCTGACCTTGGGGGCAGCAAATGTCCAATGACCCATCAGTTCCTGGACCAGATGTGACCAGGGTATATTAAAAGTCTCCCTCTTCTCCTGAAGCACTGAGGAGAACATTTTACATGGGACAGATTCTGACAACTATCACTGATTGGATGGCACACCTCTCTTTGCTACACTCTCTAAAAACCTGCTTCCCCAACCCACCTCAAACTTTAACAATTGCCCTCAGGCAGCTCTCGCGGGAGAATCCGAGCGTGTCTTTAATAGCAGGCTCACCAAGGCAGCTGCGGGATGGGAGGAGTCCTCACTGCTAGCCTGCAGCCCGCCTCCTAGACAGATAACATTCCTCCAACCTACTACCGAAGCGCGTTAGCTCCAGACCTGAGGCCTTGACTTTTGCAGACATTTAAGCAGGCCAACGTCCCTCCCCTGTCCGACCCCACCAAACGCTAAGCTGTAAGAGCTCTTTCCTCCCTTAAGTCGCCTGCGCCTCCAGTCCCATTTGGCCGCGCGTCTACTTTCCGCACTTGGGCCGGAGCGGCCAGGTAATCATTCCTGCACGCGGAGACCGGGAGCCAGCTGTGCTGACGTGTTTCCACAATAAAAGCAAACTTACAGCTGGAGAACAGAAAAGAAACGGGTAATTCTTTCCAGCAGCCCTGGCCTCCTGGCCGAGACTGGGCAGGAAGAGTAAAAGGGCGCGGGGGAGCCAGGAGGTGCTTGCCTCCCGCACCGCGCGCAGGGCCTCCGGGGGAAAGCCAGTGCCCGGCCCGCCCGCGCCGAGCCCCGTGGGCAACCGCGCCCGTCCTTACCATTCAGTTGCCGGTAGACAATGTCCTCGAGCAGCGAGAGGCGCTTCAGGACCGCATCCTGTATGGGGCTGGCGCTGTGCGCGCTGAGGTTGGCCGCCTCGGCGCGCGGCCGAATCTCGTGGAAGGCGTCTCCGCTGCGCACAGAGATGGGCCGACACTTGGCCAGGAAGAGCACGAAGCCGGCCACCGCGATCAAGTTCAACACCAACAGCACTTTGACTCTTCTCAGTGAAGCCATCAAACACGCCCGGTCGGCCCTCGCCCCGGACCCGCGCCCCCTCGGGCTCCGGCGAGGCGCGGGGCAGCCGGGGGCCGTGCGAGCCTCGCGCTCCGGACGGCTGGCGAGGATCCCAGCCGCTCCCGGCCCCACGGCACGGAGGCTAGGGCAGCGGAGACGGTTGGGAGGTCCGGGCGGTCGCGGGGAGAGCTAGATGGCTCACACCGAAGGCTTCGGTCTGCAGAAGTGCTCCCAGAGATGATGCCTGCTCAGTCCACGGCGCGCGGCCCCTAGCAGGCGCCTCGGCTTCTTGGCGAAGGGCCGGGGGGTCTCTCCTCTGCACCACCAAGTGGTTCGCCGCTGGACCTTGGGTCACCGGGAGCGGGGCTGCCAGCGCAGCGGACCCCCGGGGCCCGCGGGCCGGCAGGCGGGGCTGCCCCGGCGCCGCAGCAGGAGCGGCGCGCAGGTGCCGGGCTCAGGGTTCGCCGCCCGCCCGCGGAGGAGCGCGCCGCGCCTCGGGCCGCACAGCCACAACCCTAGTCCGCAGGCGGCCGTCGTGGCGCGCGCCCCGCGGTCTTCAGCCGAGGACCGGCTCCCCGGGGCGGGCGCCTTTGTTCCGCTCACCGACCCGCTCCATCGCGCCGAGCTGAGGAAAAACCCGCGCCCAGGGCCCGCATCCTCGCGGCTCCGCAGTCACACTCAAGTCTCGATTACTCTCAAAGTGGGGGCAGCACTAGGGGGCGGGCGAAGGGGCAGAGCGCAACGTCCTCTCCGCCCCTCGCGCCAGGGGACACCCCACCCCGCCGCCAAACTCAACAGCGCGCACAGCGCCGCGGGCTCCCGGACACGTTCCAAGTCCCGAGCCCACGCAGCGAGTCTTCTGGGCCTGCCGGTCACGCCGGCCTCTCTCCGAGCTGGCGCGTTGGGAGGCTAGCCGGAAGGAGTAGTCGGACCTCAAAAGTCACAGCAGTTCTGTAACCCCCTCCACGAACGTCGCGGGGAGCGCGGAGGGGAGGGACGCGCGCCGTCGCACCCTCCACTCGCCAGAACAGGCAGCGCTGCTCTTCCCGCGCCCCAAGGAGCCAAACGCCGAGTCTTCTAATTGGCGGACGCGGTAATACCGCCGCTGCGGCAAGGAGAGCCCACACTGCCCCGGGGCGCGAGAGCCCGGAGGGGAAGCGCAGGTGGCGGCAGAGGGCGGGGCGCGGCCCGAGGGGACCGGCTGCAGCGCCAGCTCCTCCTCCGCCGCTGCTGGCCACCCCTCTCCCCGCCAGCCAGTCGGCCACCGCCGCCCGCAGGCTGCTGGACGCACAGCTCTCCGGCTCGCCGGCTGTTGCGCGCGCACCCGGAAAGGCTGGGGGCGCCTGGAGAGTGCGGACCTTGCGGGATGGGGGCAGTCAAGTCATGCTGACGGCTGCCGCGTTGGAGGGACCCTTCGGTTCTCAGCACTCCCCGAGCGGGCGGGTTTGTTCCATCCTGGTTGGCGATGAAGACATCCCTTTCTGTGTGCTCGCAGCTCCGCTTTGCGTGGCCAGGAATGGCTAGAGGGAAAATCTGGCCTGGAGACTCGGATTCTGTTACTTTGGGAGCCAGGCCGAGCGTTAGTGGGCTGGGTGGGTTCCCTCCGTGTGAGAATTCTCATCGTACAGGTTACAGTTTCTGTGTCCACTCCCACCTCTATGCGAATTTTATCGTAAGAACAATATTTTGTCTCTTGGATTTCCGAAATCTCTTCCTCTTCCCAAAGCCAGGAGCTCCAAATGCTGGAATTCAAAACCCCGCGTTGATCCATTTAATTCCTTGGGCCTGAAGCAAGAAATAAGGCTGCCAACTAAAAAAGATCGGGCAGCGAAGCCCAATAAATCTGGTGGTTTCCACCTTACCATTTCGATCTCATTGAAGTGTTTTGTTGTTGTTGTTACCGTTGGGTTTTTGTGTTTTGTTTTGTTGCTGATTTATTATTTGAGATGTCGATTTTCAACATAGAGTCTAAGTGAAAGAAAAAATATAACAATCTTTTAATTCCCTCGGAACTCTGTGTCCTGGTTCAATAGGTTTTGCTTTGTATAATCTACAAGAAAGTGAATACAAAACTGTTAGATGAAAAAGGCACATCGAAAACCACAAGGGACAGTTTTTAACCCCACGGGGAGGGCAGGAAAGAGGTTGAGTAGGAAGAAACCTGAGTTATTGAGCAGTTTATAAGGCAGGCACTGGGCCACGCACCCTCTCCATGATATCTCACTGAATACCCAGCTGAGTTAGGTGTTATTATAACCACGCTGGGAGGGAAGCTAGCACAATCAAGGGAAGCTTCTGCAAAAATAATTTTTGGGCATTTGTTCACCCACAGGACTGCAGCTGGAGAGGTTGAGGCATTGGGCTAGGGTGTCCCAGTAGTAAATGGCTCTAAACCGTGGTGGGTCTGACTCCCAGGCATATGCATATTTGGGATTAGGAGACCGGAAGCAAATTAGAGGAAATGGCCTCAGGGTAATGGAGATGTTTCCAGGCAAAATTCAACTTCAGTGAGATTTCTTTTCTCCCCCTAAAACCAGAGAGTTTTAGACCCAATGAGTGACCCCCTGTCATGGTCACACCCTGAAGCCTGTCATCACACAGAAGTGCTGCACTCATGCAATCCTGCACTAAAATCCCACCCTGTGCCCACTGCTTTCCTACTCTCAATTCCAACCAAACAGATTCTCCAGCCACCAGCAACCCCTCTTTCCCTCCCCAGTATTTCAGCCGTTCCATGCCCTCTTGAGTTACTTCTCTACCCTTCCTGGTTACTCGAGACCTGCTTACTCATTTATTTCAAACACATTCCCAGTAGTGGCCCTGATTCACACACACTCATAGACATGGTCTCCCACTGTGCCCCCAGTTTGGCAATCCCCACCTCTGAATCAATCCCACCCAGGCAAGAGAGGGCACCTAGGGAAAACCATATCACCCCAAAGCTTGGGGACATTACCAATTGGTGGTGTATAATGTGAGCTGGATCCTTCATTCTACTCAAAAGCACTGTTCCATGTCTCTAATGAGCTCCTCTCCCCAGAGATGTCCGAGGTAGACCAGAAGTCCATAAACACCCCTCAGTCAGATACGGAAATTTGTGTGTGTATATGTGTATATCATTTGGGTATTTTTTCTGGGGGAAAGACCCATAACTTCCCTCAGGTTCTTAATGTGGTCAGTGACCCCCAGATTTTAAGAACCTGCCTGGCATATGTTAGATGTGCAAAAACATAAGCCGCTGAATATTTATTGCAGGCCAGCTGCTTATGAAACAAGTGGTGCCAAGGCACACAAGGTTGATGGAGCTCTCCGCTTGCTCGCATATCTTGATGGAAGAAAGAAAACTCTGGACTAAAGCCAACATGCTTGTATGAATGAAGGTTGAACTGATGTGAAGGGACGGAACTAAATAGAGTCTGCCTCCTGAGTAAATTCTCAGGCCTAAAAGGAGCACACCAACCACTTAAACTACATACACAGAGATTAAAGGACCCATTGACAGAGTCGTCAATTACCATGTGCCCAGAGGCTCCCAGAGGGATGAGTGACCTCCCTCAATCAATGACTGCCATCTGTCTACATACCATTTGCCCCCAATCCAGCTAGTAACACCAACGAAATTATACCTCAGTGGCTGTGTAGTCTGTTCACCAGGGGATCTGGGTTTTATTACCCCTGTTACCAAGAAGCAAATCAATTCTCGACTTTAAAATAAGAAATTTCTCTTGGATGGCTCCAAAAATCTTTCCTAAGCATAAAATTCAGTTAAACTACAAACAACATTTTTTAAAAGAGGTTTATTTGTATATTTGTTTGTTTAGCAAACAAAGGAAGGAGATTGATGTATTTCTGTTCGTAGGTCACCAAGGATTTTGATTCCAGATACATTTTTCATTCATCAGCCATGGCCCAGAAGATATGGAGCTCTGACTGGACTGTTACCTTTGCTCCTGTTAAAAACCTCTCGCATCTCAGCCTAATCCATCACCAAAGTCAAAAATACTTGGCCATCCTGGGACTTCCCTGGTGGTCCAGTGCTTAAGACGCTGTGCTTCCAATGCAGGGGGTGCAGGTTTGGCTCCTGGTCAGGGAACTAATATCCCTCATGCCATGCAGCCAAAAAAAATAAGTACTTTGCCATCCAAATATCTTCTTTGGTGAAATGTCTGTTCAAATCTTTGGACCAGTTTTTAAAAATCAAGTTGTTTCTTATTGTTGAGTTTTGAGAGGTTTTTTTGTTTTTACTAAATTTATTTATTTATTTCTGGCTGCATTGGGTTTTCGTTGCTGTGCAGGCTTTCTCTAGTTGGGGCGAGCGGGGCCTACTCTTCATTGTGGTGCGCAGTCCTCTCATTGCGGTGGCTTCTCTTGCTGCAGAGCATGGGCTCTAGGCACATGGGCTTCAGTAGTTGTGGCATGCTGGCTCAGTAGTTGTGGCTCGCAGGCTCCAGAGTGCAGGCTCAGTAGTTGTGGCGCACGGGCTTAGTTCTTCCCAGACCAGGGCTCGAACCCGTGTCCCCTATATTGGCAGACAGATTCTTAACCACCGCACCACCAGGGAAGTCCCCTGAGAGTTCTTTATGTATTCTGAATACAAGACCTTTGTAAGAAATATGGTTTGCAAATATTATTTTAATTCTATTAAGAATGTTTTATGCAGAAGAAAAGCTTTAATTTTAACAAAGTCCAGTTTATTATTACAAAAAATACTTGGAATTCGTCAAGGAAAACCCGGGGTTCATCTTTCTCCAGAGGCTTTGCCAATCTACTTAATCTTCCAGAAACAGAGAGGTAGAGACTTCACTCGTATAAAACCCTGAACATTACAGCAGATACTGGAATTGTTATTTGGTTTTTTAAGTGAGATATAATTGGCATACATCATTATGTTAAGTTCAGGTGTACAACATAATGATTCAGTATTTGTATGTATTATGAAATGCTCACCACAGAAGTCTAGTTAACATCCATCACCATACAGAGTTACAAATTATTTTTTTGTGATGAGAACTTTTAAGATCTGCTCTCTTAGTAACTTTCAAACATACAAATAGTATTATTAACTATAGTCACCATGCTGTACATTGCATTCCCATGACATTTGTTTTATAGCTGGAAGTGTCTACCTTTTGACCACCTTCACCCATTTCTCCCACCAGTGCTCACCTCTGGCAACCACCGATCTGTTCTCTGTACCTATGATTCTGGGTTTTGGTTTTTGTTTTCAGATTCCACATATAAGGTGTCGTATAGTATTTGTCTTTTTCTGTTTGACTTATTTCACTGGAGGTTTTGTTTGTTTGTTCGTTCGCTTATTCTTTTTTCCCAACTTTATTGGCAATATTAATGACAAAAAAATTTGAGAATCTAAAGTATACAGTGTGATAATTTGATATATGTATACATTGTGAAAGGATCCCACTGGAGTTTCTTTTTAAAGGAAAAAAAAAAAGACAGAATCCATCCTTTCCTCCACTTCAAGGATGCATAATATAAGGGGAGAAAAGATTATGACAAGGGGGGATAAATGAAAGGGGAGAGACCACGCCGCTGTGTGTGCTAAAGGCCTGCCTTGTGTGCCAGCCACTGCCCACACAACAGCCTAGACTCACCACTTATTAGCTGTGTGATTCTGAGCAAGTTACCTAACTTCCCTGGGTCTCATCTGTTTCCCCAGCTGTAAAACAGGAAGGATATCCATAATACTACCTCATGAAGTTGCAAAGATAAATGCATGTGAATCACTTAGCACAGGGCTAGGCATATAGTCAGCACTGTGGAAATAAACAAAGATCATCCAAGTGAGGACAAGCAAAGGTTGTATATTCAGTTTGCTATTGCAAGTGTTGGCTGAAAACAAAACAAAAAAGCACAACCTAAAAGTTGAATATTATGTTTTATTTGGCAGACAAAACTGAGGACTTAAGCCTGGGATGCAGCCTCTCAGACAGCTCTGAGAGATTGCTCAGAAGAGGTCAGGGAGGAGCCAGGATATATAAGAGTTTTTGCAACAAAGACCAGGTGGTCAGAGCATCAAAAGATTACTGTTAATTAAAGAAAATCAGGCACCTCAAGTTAAGGAATTTAGCGCTTTTCTATATATGGGAAGATGCAAACGTCTGGGCTCATTGAAATCATTCCTCTGATATGTACCTCAGCTAAATGGGGCCAGTATCCTGTGTTTTCCCATGCTGAGTCTCCTCAGGTGCACTGTTTGGGGGCAGCTGCAGGGGCTGATGGCTTGATTGGGGGGCGGGGGCATCCTGTTTCCACCCTGAGTTCCTTCAGGGCTCACCATTATGGGCAGCTGTGATGTGATGGCTTGATGGCTGCAATATCCCTTGTTTACCAATAAGGCAGGCAACATTCTCTCACTCAGAGGAGTCAGCCACCATTACTTGTGTTTGGCAGAGACTCAAAGGCAAGCAGTGGAGAGGGAAAGCTTTATAGTGGAAAAAGGGAAGGCTTCAGATATGCCCTGATTGGAGGCTGTTGGCCTGG